GTATTGATCAATATACATTTTTTTTTAGAGTATTGTTACTAGTTATTATTGACTAACCTACAATTTTAATCTAAAAAACTTATAAACTAATTACTTATCTAAGAAGTCCCCGTTGGGCTGTCTTAATTGTTTCTATAGGCAAGCATCACAAGTTGGCGTGACGACTTATTACACTGTTTTACACTAGCACTACCATTAACGTTCACTGCCCTAGCTCAAATGGTTTCTTCCTTTTGAGCCTTCTGTTGAGTGTAGAGTTGTCCAGTAATTGCAGAGCTTCTTCGATGACGTGGGAGTGGAGTCGACCCTCATGTTTCGCAGCAAATCTCTTTATTTCTTCTTAGATTGTTGGCATCTTCAGGTCTCTTTGAAGATAATCGTTTCGATAGAACCAAGGTGCATCAATGATACATCTTAGGACTTTTAAAAAACTTGTATCATGCTGATATTACTCTTAATGGCACATCCAAATAGCTGTATGCCATAAATCCAGATTCGTTTTAGGATTTATTATAAATCTGTAGTTTGTTGTACACTGACAATTTCGATTTCCTTCCTAGGAGCCAATACATTTTTTACGCTTTTTTATGTGCTCTTTTCATTTAAGTCGTACATCTAGGTTCATTCCTAGGTATTTGGCCGAATCGTGATGCGGAACAACGACATTGTTTATTCTTATTTATTTTTGTTCATTTGGTCGGAGAGTAAAATCAACATGCACTGATTTAGTTTTATTTATTTTTATTTTCCACTTTTTTGTCCATCGATTGATTCTGTTGCTGGTTTCCTGAAGTTTTTCTGAGGTCTCTGTAATATTAGTTCCGCCAACTGCCAATATTGCAGTGTCATTCATAAATGTTGCTATTTTAACACATTGTTTTTGAGGGATATCGTTTGTGTATAATAAGTAAAGAACCGTCCTAGCACACTGCCTTGTGGGACACGTTTTAATTTCTTTCATTTCGGAGTATGCTTCCTGTTGCTTTACTCCATTCTTCCCGTTAGATATGATTGTAGAATGTCGAGATATTGTCTAGGGAGCATTTTTTCCAGTTTCTGTATCAGCTCAGCGTACCAAACCTTGTCAAATTCTTGGGCTACGTCTAGAAATATAGCTGAGCATATATATTTTTCTTCGTAAGCTTTTTCGATGATATCGGCTATCCTGTGTACTTGATCTATTGCCTAGTACTTGTTTCTAAAACCAAATTGGTGCGAAGGGATCAGGTTTTTATTTTCAATTATTAGTTTTAGTCGTTTTAGTAGTAGTTTTTCAAATAATTAGTAATTATTGGTAACAATGATATAGGTCTATATGATGACCCATCATTCCTGGCTTAAAAATTAGGATAACTTCAACCATTTTCCACGCATCAGGTATAAACCTCTTTAGTTCCTTATCTAGCAGATTTTTCGTTTTTAGTGTTATGGACAGGTGAATAGTATTTGTTAAGTCCTCTTGAAAACCTTCCCAATTAGTTTTCCGATTTGCTATGGTCCGCTTTGCTTCTTTTTGAATAACATTATCACTTAGAGTAAGAATTACTGCAGAATGATCTGAATCCCAAAGTTTTCTTCTACTTGTGTATAGTTTGGTGAAATTTTCATCAGAATAAAGAAATCCAAAAGGTCTGGAATATTATTTGGGTCGGTGGACCAAGAGGTGGGGTTTTCAGAAGATTGGTATGTACAACCAAGTTCTGATGCAGCTCGGTGTAATTCTTTTCCTTTTACTGTTGTTAATATTAAACCCCAGATGGTGTTTTTGCAGTTGTAATCTTCACCGATTATAAATTTGTTACCTAGTTTTTTGAGTACATTGAGATAATTTTCTTTTTTCTGGTTGTATTTTGGTGGGCAATAGATTGCAGTTATTGTAATTTTGCCCCCTTAATATTAATGGTGCTAGTGGTTACCTGATTTTCTGGTTCCTTGGATGCCTGGTTCCTCATAATGGGAAATGTTTTTTTTAATAATTAACGCACTTCCTCCTCTTGCTGCATTTGATGGATGGATATTGTGATAGAAGTTGTATCCTCTTAATTTAATGCATGACTCCGTTGTAAGGTGGACCTCAGAAATCAGACATATATCTATTTTTTGTATGTTCAAGAAAACTTTGATATCAGTTTGTTTTTGGAGAATACCATTGGTGGTTTTGTTATATATTTGGGGTTTATTTAATTCTTTTAGCTTCTGGAGCCTGTCAGAGAGTGAATATATTCTGGTTATTAAGGATAATAATTCATGAATGATACTTTCTATTAGGCTGGCTGACTGTGCAGTATGCTGTGCAATTTGTGGTGTGGGATTCATAGCGGGTTGTGACTTTTGAATTGGTTGCTCCTGTGAGTTTGTTACCTGAGAATATGTTTCTGACAGTAGGAAAAGCGTTTATGGGCCTCCTCTGCAACGTCATTATTTTAGGTTTAGTGGTATTATTCTTCCTTATTTGAAAGGTTTTAGCTACTTCAAATCCTCTATAGTTAGCAGGATGTTCCATTAGGCAGTTTACACATTTCGTTTGTTGTTCTGGACTTTTTACACAATCCTTCGTATGATGTTTTCCTACGCACATATACATGAATTGTAAAATATTCGCTGTATGTGAGCAAATTTTTAAAATTGATAATTATATAAATACGGGTGTTGTAATTAATTCTTGACGGAAACATATTTTGTACATATTCTTAATGTATATTCATTTTTCGCCAGTTAACTGAAAGCTAGTATTTTTAAATTTAGTTTTCTAAAATTAAAATATCGGTAATGTCCGGGAAATTGGCATGTTTCGTCATTTTAATTTATAACACAAGGAATATCATATTTTTATATTTTTTTAGTTCAATGTTCTCACAAACCAACCTAAAATATTAATGAGACATTAAAGCGAAAGCGAAAAAATGTTAAACCATAAATATCTGAAAGAGGACATTGAAGGGGTGGGAATTCTTGAAATTAAAAACTGCAAATCCATGACCACATCACCCTGTAACTTCGATGGTTCGTTTTACAATAAACATTGTATACATGAATAAAACACACCGGATTAAACTAGTAAAACTATTGACATCGAAAGACCATCTTAACTTAAGAAATCTTGAACACGTACTATTTATAGAAATTTGGAGAATTTACTAAACGCGACTAGTCTCTCCACCTCGCAATTAAAGACTATTCTTTACATTTTTATTTATTTATATTTTAAAACCTAACTACCCTCTGAGGCGTCTAAAGCTTCACTCTTTCGACTCAGAGAGTCTCGATGTTAAGAGAATGTCGTTTTTCTCATATTGTCGAATCTTGAAATACAAAGTTAAATTACTAACATATGAACAGGTTAGGAAAAAAGTATACGAGCCATATGGTAAGTTACGCCGATCTCTGTTAATTGTAGCGTGCAGTATGATAATATTCACGTCGGAGAGCATCGATCAACATAATACATTTTAATTCTTACAAGATTCTAGAGAGCCAGCGTCCACTTTGTCTTTCGAACTTCCGCATGCGTAAAAATTGTTGTTTGTATCGAAGTGATACAGGAACCTGTGGAACGTTTATCTTGTTTGATAAATAATAGTTTTTAGAGGTTTTAAACTGAAATAAAATTAAATGAATAATATTACTATAAATCCCCACAACTTATATTCTCATGGCAAACTAATAGTGACATAGAATTTAAAGAAGAAAATGTACAACAAGAAGACGAAGCAACAATTTTTCGTAAATATCTCGAAAATATCAACCTATACCTGACTACGCCGACGGGTATAGATTCCAACGGCCTGGACATAGCCCAAATTGAAATGGTAGAAGATTGATAATTATTCACCCCTTTTGGCACAATTCACAATATTTTCGACATAATTATAAATAATAATAATTATAAATATCACATACAAATAGTAAATAGAGTTAGGTTACGCGCGTGCTGGAAGCTCGAGAGACAAAGTAGACACTGACATTCTACACTCTTTATTAATTCTTCAGCTTATTTTTCATTTACTGCTCCGCTTTCACTATACTACTGTAGAAATATTACACCAAACCAACTTAGATATATGAAGGTGACTCTCTATCACAGGTCTGGCTATTGTTTATTAAAAGACGGTAGAATATTTGAACCTTTTATTCGTTAGGTTTAGTAGTCATTTTAGTTATTTTTAAGTTTTTGAGAATCTTTTTTGTTATTATTTAGTATTACCTTTTATTTTAATTTTTCTAGAATTTTACTTTTGTTTTTAGCATTTTGTATAAGTAGTTATTTTGTTTTCAAAACCATAATGGCTAATAAATTTCTATACAACAGGTATTTGAGGAACTATAAATTATTTGTTACTTGCAAATAATTCTTAGTTCTACAATCAGAGGAATCTAACTAAATATAGCCTTTATTTAATTAGAGAAAGCACACTTCATACATTACTAAACTTTAACTGCTTGATTGACTGATAAAAGTAAACAATATCGAAATCAGGAGAGGTGGTAGATATGTAAACGTTCATGGTTATTGTACACAAAGTATAGAGATCGCCGTGCCTATGCCATATGGCTCGTATACCTTTTTCCTAACCTGTATGTCAGACTGGTTCAAGGCTTGAATTCAAAACCTTTTAGTTGCCGCCGTAACAATGATTAACAACGAAATAACTTATTCATTATTCGAGAGCGGTTCAAAGAATTTGAGCAATCGTGTATGTTGAACAGTCGATGACTACGTGCTTTCTTTCATTGCAGAATTATTTTAAAAATATTTTTTATACGGAAACTATGCATGTGGCCCATGCTGTAAATATCATACTCGTTGGAAACGAGTATCATTCCTTGTTCGTTAAACAATATTGGTTTATATTGCTGATCGTTGAACAGTTCAAATTAACTTTAGAGAAATAGTCCTTGTTATAAAAAATATAAATTTAGCTGTAAACGGGATATTTTGAAGACACATTCTGTGAATATTTCTGTACGAGTTTAAAAAATAAAAAAATATATGTTTTCAGAGCGGCACAGACCGAAGTAGCAGATCTAGGATAGGAAGTTCTTCGGATATCCGGAACGAGAACGGCGAAATCGACTACAAGAAGTTGTACGAGCAACAGCTGGTTGAGAACGAGAGACTAAAAGACAAACTCAGAAAGAACGACGAGGAACTTAGAGAGACCAAACAGACCTTGGAGAAAATAAACTTGGTAGTAAGTAAAATACATTTTTCATTTTATGAACAAATTTTGATTTTATGGTACTTTTGTATACCTAAAACACTGTTCGAGAATCACTTTCAGAGTACAATCTCTGTTTGTAATTGCTAGTAATATAGGTTTGTTTTCTTACCTTATCATGAGAGTGATGACGTACTACTGGCGGCTTGTGGCTTTTGTGTTTGGGTGGGCAGTAGTAGAAGAAACTAATTACCTTCAATTTTGGGGATGATACACTGTAATAAAGTATGATGTGTCCAATACATGACTTGCCTGTATTGAATACGGTCCATCTAATCAAAAAGTGTTAAGAATATGAATTAACGATAAAAATTTTATTAAGAGCGGAAAGTTCTACTTTACCGCTTGAGATAAAAAGTTTCCGCGCGATCCTTTAGAGGAACGCGGCAAATATAGTCCAACGGATGGATCGCAAAAAGCGTTCTAGTTTCGGAGCTAAAAAACTAAGGTATAACCAAATGGGACTTTCACCATTTGAAAAGGCATATTGTTTTTACATAGAAAATGGAAATTGATGACTCTCTCCATTGGTCGAGACCAAAGATATAGGAAAACTTTGATCACTCAAAAAAGAACAACAATGTTTATTGTTGTTTATTATTATTTAATTTCCTTTTTTTTTTGTATATATTTTACTGCAAAAATATTGTAAACTACACCAAAAAAATAGTAATATTAAAAAAAGACAACAAATTGACAATATTTTTTAAACCTACTTTGCCATAACATTCTTATGCAATATTTAAGATTTAATTTCTGATATACATTTTTAGTACTTAAAATTAAGTTTTATAATTCTTGGGGGGGGGGGGTAATGGCCCCCATTATCCCCCCGTATATGCGCCCCTGCAGTAAAGTAGTATTATTTTACTAATTCATAACGGAATTCACATTCTTTCGTTCCCAAACTCAGTTAATTTAATGCTTTTAACAAAATTATTAATAAAAACATTTTAAAATATTAAAATTTGAAAAATAAATGAAAACTAGGCTTGGCATTATACTCTTCACAGTTTAGCAGTCCCCTTTAACCTCCATTTTGAATCATATTTTATCAGAATCAACACGCTTCATCCCTTTATAGAGATTGATTTTTTACTAACAATTTTCGCTTTTCATTTTTGATTTTTGTTTTATTTCAACCCCCTTAACTCCCATTTTTACTAAAAACTCATGTTGATATCTTTTTTTGTTTTTAATTTGATTTTTTTTTTAATTTCATTCCTCTTTAACCCCCTATTTTTATTCATAGACTTCGTCCCCTTATAGAACTTGATTTTTCCTGAAAATTTCAAGTTAATATCATTTTTCGTTTTTGACTTAACGTGCGGACAAAAACGTAACATCGGACGGACGGATGGATGGACCTTTTTAAAAGTTGTTTAAAATTTGATGAGAATGATTTTGGTCTGATGTTTTGTACGATTTTTGTATCAATATTAAAAATTTTGGTTTCTCGAAAGTAAACCTCTGTTTCAAGAATAAAATAAATAGTAGCTACTTTTGAGTATGAATATCTCGAAAACCAATTACTTTTTATGAGTTCCCAACAAGAGTACTTATATGATTGAAAAACAAAAAAAAAATAAATAAAATTATAGCCCAAATAAGTTTTTGGATATACTCAGACAAAATATTGAAGAAGGTGATTCCTCCCTGTTCACGTACAACAATCATACTATACCAGAGCATAATGAATGGAATCACGCGCTTAAAACTGCAGAAGTTATCGGTATCACGTGCCAACTAGTCATAAATGCATGTTTATTGCCAAAATGTATTACGCCAGTGGCGTATAAAAACTATTGGCAAATTAAATGCGGTAATAGTAAATAATATTAGATGAAAGTAGGTTGGTTATCTATTTTTGTAGTAATTATCATTTATGTTTATAATTTTGTTTTGTTTATTGTTAAAATATGTAAATATTATGCCAGTGGCGTAGAAACACTATTGAAAAATTAAATGGGGTATTATACTAGAACAAAATATTGAAGAAGGTGCACCTTAAAACTGCAAAAGGTATCGTTATCATATCAAAATGCACTCTTCCAGTGTCGCAGAAATACTATATTGGCAAATTAAATGGGTATTTGTAAATATTACTAGATGAAAGTAGGTTGGTTATCTATTTTTGTTATAATAATTCATCTATGTTTATAATTGTATTTTGTTTATTATAAAAATATGTAAATTAAGCTTGGTATCACTTACTTGAATTCTAAATCTATGAAGTTTCGTAATTTATTGATTCTGCAGAACTATCACTGGAATCGTCTTTATCGTCGGAACTCGTTATGACTAAAGGTTCAACTACCGTTTCGATCATACCGTCCATATTATTTTCTTCCTTAATTACATGGGAAATAGCATTCTGCCAATTTTCAGGTTTTATACGTTCTATACCGGTTTTTAATAAACTTTGAACGTCGGCTATTTTAAAAGTTTTATTTTCACTTGCGCCCAAATTAGTTCAATAGGATTGAATTCGCAGTGATAAGGGGGAAGTCTTAGTACCGTAATACCACGATCACGAGCCATTGTGTCGACAACATATTAAATATATTTATGGCGGTGTTCCTTTATTAGGTTCATTAATTCCACTTTAAGCATCTCCTCAGTAAATGTTATTGCTTTATCCCGCAGCCAGGTTTGCATATCCGTTTTCCTACTGGACATTATCGGAATGCCTTCAAGTCGTCGACTGTGATAAGAAGCGTTATCTAGTACAATAACTGAATTTCGTTCTACACGCTGTAATACTTCAGTAAACCATTTTTCAAAGCATTCCGCATTTATGTCCTCGTGGTAGTCTCCTGTTTTTTTCGATATAAACACAAGAGCGCTATTTTCCAAAAATCCATTGTCACTTCCGATATGGGCAACAATTAGGCGCTGTCCTTTACCTGATAGTGCTTTCAAACCTGTAGATAATCCCTCTATAAAAGCTTGGCGATGACTAGTTACAGAAGTATCTTGCCATATCTTAGATACCGTGTGTCCACCATTCGCCCACGTTTCATCGATATAGTATATCTTTTTTTAGCGGCTCTAAACTCTTTAATATTTCGTAAATAACGCAGTCGCCAGGACACTATATCTGACCTCTTTGACACCGTTTGACAAAACGAAATTTTAGGCCCCATAAAATTTTTCGTGTCACGGCTCATTAATGGAATTTCTTCGTTTTCTCTTAATTTCTTAAGAACAACATTAAATGTTTTCGAAAAAAAAAAAAAAAAAAAGAAAAAAAAAATACAGTTCTTCGAATGTTTTTGGTTATCGTCCAGTTTCAACAATTTTCGACCACGGGTATGCGTTTTAGGGGCTTCTAAGGAGCCTTTTTTGTCTTTTTGTGTACAATACGTTCAATTGTTGAAACAGATACTCCAGTTAAAAAAGAACTGCGGTTTACAGCTTCATTTGTAAGAAGTGTCTGTTTCAGCCCATCATACACTTTTTATATTATGTTCTTTTCATCCTTTGATAAGGGCTTTCGCCGACGTAATTGGGTTTCACTTGGACCCGCTTCTGAATCCATTACTATTGTAACAATATAATTCTACTATTAAATTGTTTTTATTAAATATCAATATTTTACTATTTAATAAACTTTTAAAGTACCTACCTAATATACTACACAATAAATATAACTCCTCGAATAAAAGTGTTTATAAAATATAAAATAATTATCGTAAATAGTTAAAGCGATACAAATCTAACTTCGTCGAAAGTTAGTTTTCAACTGTCTTTGTTCCTGTGCTGACAATATTCAATCTGTAACTCGTCTGTCCTTTATTTACTTGAAACACATTCATTTGTCATCGCCTCCAAATATTAGGGTATCATAGTACAAAATTTTACTCTCTATTGCAGAGTTAAAACTGATTTCAACTGATTTAGCGGTTTTGACTCTTTACCTGATCCACACATGGACGGACTTTTTTGTCTGTCTAACTAAATGAATGTAACGATCAACGAAATTGCCAAGAACGGAGATGACACGTTTTTAAAAGCGGTGTTTTTAAAACCATTAAACACAGATAATGAAGTCATTAGGGAATAAATATATTCATTTTTTGAAAACTATCAAAAACGTATATTTAACGCATCATCTTTGTTTAAATAAAGATGTTGACAAACAAATTTAATAAAGTTTACTAACAAATACCTAATAAATAATAAATAATTATTTGGTATTTGATAGGCCGCCTATGCTGAATTATCATTCATAGACAACAGTGCATATGACTCACCTTCTCCAATATTTTGTTCTAGTATAGTAGCCTAAAATTTAGAAGAGATGATGATGTTATTTACCCATGTCGTGCGCCATTGGCAAAGTTTATTTAACTTTTTTTTGCCGATATTTGTATCTTATGATACCAAACACGTTTGCCAAATTTAATAAAATTATACTGAGTAATAAAATAATTATAGCCATTAACAATTTTTTAATTTTCCTACTAATATTTTTCCTAAACATATTTAGTTTAATCGTCTTATTTTTAATCAAAGAATATTCGTTTGTTCTGTGACGTATTATTAATGTACATTATAGTCTGAGACCTATGTGGTTAGTGGGTAGTTATTTTCGGGTGGGCACTGCCATTCCTGAGAAGCCGACACTGACATGCCATAACTTTGAAAGGAATTATAATAAATATTAAAAATGCATACCAAAAAGTTTTATGAATCTAAAGAATGTGTACATTGGAGAACATAATTTTTTGAAATACCTGCTTTGCGTTTGGCTTTTTGTATTTTTGATTATTAACTAAAAATTGTATATATTGACTGTTTTTTGACTCGACTTTTTAAAGACGTAGAAAAACTACTGATTTGGCGAAAACAAAGAAATTTTGCGTATATCGGATATGGTAATAGATACGAGTTCGGTTAAATTGAACAAAAGTTGCGGTTCTTTTATTACACGGGAAATCTTAAAACTTGCCATTATCGCAAAAATAATAAAATGTAGAGGATAAAAATTTTTAGTACTTTTTTACAGCACTCTAGTTCTGGCGTCCCAGTTAGAAGGATAAAGATTTTGAACTATTTGTCACATTCAGAATATTAATTTTAAGAGAAATCCAAAATTTTAAGTATTTATCGCTACCTGTTTCGAAACTATCGCCAGAAAATCATCTTCAGGGGTTTATTTTCAAAGGGGCTCCATTTAAGACATTTTTGTGTATAGGAACTTTCTACCTTATTTTTACCTGTATAAAATATTTATCTCTAATTTTGGAACATCCTGTATAGCGGGATTGGATATAAATAATATTCTTTTGAAACAATTTTGACTTTGGTGATCGATAAAATTTATATTAAAATCGATACAATTGGCTACAACACGAATTCTTTTATTGCAGACGAGTAAAAATTCTTTGTCAGAACTAGAAAAACGAGAAAGGAGAGCAATGGAAAGAAAACTGAGTGAAATGGAGGAAGAACTAAAGGTACGTACCGTCTATCATTTTTCTTTCTTCATTTCCCTTCTCTCTCTGTATCGCTCTCTATACACTCTCATTTTTTTCTTCCGCCTTTGGCACTTGAATCTGAGCAGCGATTGGTTTATGCTATTGTAGAAGAGCAGTATTCAGTGTTGTTTCGTATCACTTTTGAAAGCAATAGACAAAGCCTTGTAGTTTTGATTAGATCATTCATTTGAATCCATCTACATAGAACATACACAATACACGTACCTACACCACTCATTACACGCAGAGCCGTTGCAGCAATTTTTCATTAATTAAGTTAAAATTAATTAATTGCCTTGAACATAGTAGTTATATGGGTCTATTCTATTTATATATTTCTTTATTTTACAAAAGTATTTCAAAAATTGCAACTGAACGATGCTATTTTACCCCAGTAACTCAAATTGTAAATATTAAAAGTGGACGGACAAAACTGTCTGGAGATATCGTCATTTAGGGCCAATTTTAGGAACATATACAATTTACTATCACTAATGAATCAACAGAATGATACTTTGACCAGATACAACAATAATACTCTATATTGTCAATGTGCCAAACTGTCAAACATTTTAATCTGGCAGGCCATTGTAAATAGGTCAGGGCGATCAGACTTCGTATTTTTGGCCTTTCAACAAAAACTAAAGACCTACTCAACATTTCATTTGAAATAGAATACTATTCTATCTTTGGAACTCGTTTTTTTGTTAATATCCCTTTAAAACAAAATTGTATAAAAAAAAAATAATAATAATAAATAAAGAATAGACCCTTAGAAATACACTTCACAATTTTTTGAACCATATTGTTCTTCTAAATATTTCCAAAGGAACTGAAACTTTTTTATATACAGGGTGTTTCAGAATAAAGTACCGTAAACTGGGGGATTTGTAGATCTAATTATTGCGAAAAGCTAAATTTAATTTTCCTGTTAACGCCCAGTTTTCATTCTACAGGGTGATAAAGTTAACATCTTCAGCGAAAGGGAAGATATTTAGAAAATTATGTATTTATGAAATTCACTTTATCACCCTGTAGAAAGAAAACTGGGACGTTTACAGTAGAATTATATTTAGCTTTTCTTATTAGTTAAGATCTACAAGTTCCCGTTTACGGTACTTTATTCTGAAACACCCTGTATAAAGCTTAAAAATTAATGGTTTTTCTGAAAAAGTTGGCAACAATTAGGATATTTATTTATTATTTATTTTTGAAAAATATGTATTCGTTTCAATAAGTTCTTCATCACATAAAAATCAATAATCCTGGATCAAATTTGTAAAATATTTAGTGGTATGCAGGGAAAATCGAAATGTTTAAATTATTAAAAATTTAAATTCCTATCATTTTCAAATACCATTTTGTTCTGTAATTAATTTTTTCTACACCCACATGGATATTAGTTTATCTACGTATATTTTATAACCATTCTAGGTAGTGAGAACATTGCAAAAAATGAAATCCACCAAAGTTCATATTTTGGTCAACCGACTACTATTATTTTTAAAATTTTAAATAAGTGACAATTCTGTTAAACAAATTGTCAGTATATTTTTTAGTTATCGAAATTAAATATACATTAAAATGAATTATTCTTGTGTAGAATCATTTATTTTGCCTATAATTTAAATAATTAGTTAGTTTTAATAAAATTATATGAAGTCAATTTAATTAATTAAGCAAAACTGTCATGCGCTTCAATGGTGGCGAGGTCAGAGAACTTGCCTTGCATGCGGAAGGACCAGGTTCAAATCTAGGATGGGGTCAAATTAATTTAAATGCTTTTTCTTGTTTATTTTATGTAATTTTATAAATTAGTAAAAACTTAAATTATTTTTAAATTAGTTATTTTATCTTAATGATTTGAAATAATTTTTAATATTTGTGGATTTTCGTTAATGGGTCGTAGAAAAAATTTACTGTACAACTCGAGTGGATTGTCCATATCCACTCTTGTTGCATAAACTTCTATTAAAAGCACATTGATTTTCCCTGTATTACCAATAAATATTTTACAAGTTTGATTAGTAATTTCTATGTAATGCAGAACTTTTTATGAAGAATATTTTTTTTTTTTTGGTAATAATGAATAAATCTACTTTTTGCAAACTTTTTCAAAATATGTTCAATGTTTTTATTAATTATTGATTTACGTTAAAGCCTATTTTTAATATACAAATAATTCATAGTTTTGGTTCTTTTCGTGTGATTTACAAACACAATGCAGGCAGATTTTTTTGTAAACAAATTTATTCATTTAAAATGTGGGGTATGCAAACTCACAACTAATTCATTTTGTTCATTTGCCATTTAGAGCTGCGATTCACAAAAGCTACATAGTCAAAAAAAAAATATCCTGAATTATAAGAATTCATTCATACCATTTGTGTTTCTAGCAATTACAAAAACTGAAAGCTGAGAACGAACGCCTTAAGGCCGACAACAGATCACTTACACGTGTCATCAACAAACTTACCAACTCTGCAATGTAATAGGTAATCGAAATTTTGGAAAAAAAGATTAAAAACACGTTTTGTTACTGCAAAGTGTTCTTGTTTTTTTCTTATAATTTTTATTTTAGTTGTTTTTTTTTTTTCGTTGAGTTTAGTTTAATTGTTTGTTGACATGTAACAGCTTTGCCTATAGCACTAAATTTTTATTGATTCGTGTGCGTGTTTTGCTGTATTTACAGTAGAATATAAAAATTATACTAACATTTTTTTAGATAAAATAATTGTCGGAGGAATATTATTGTACACTTCGAATGCGTTGCCTTCAGGGAAAAATGGTATAGTAATGTAGCCCTGTAAAATTACCACCACGTTTAAAGTTTTCATCACAAAACTTTCCTCAGTTAGCCATGACCGACAAGGATATAGATATGAGTCATGTCTGAGATAACTGATGATAATTTTATGGCGTATATATTTATTTAGAATTCAGAATATTTATCTTGAAGCTGTCCTACATATTTGATAATTTTATATTTAAAAAAATACATGAACTTATAGTGCTTATTTTTTTAATATCTGGCATGTAGTTGTAATGTATAGGGGTCTAATTGACAACAGCACATTCAGTCGGCCGAGCTTCGTCTAGAACTTGAAATGGGAAAGAAGATACGCCCCTAAGATCAAGAAGGAATAGATACGTTGTGTCATTATGTCGTTCTGAGTCATAAAAACTTTTTAGTTTTTTTTACAATCTTTTAAACTTTAGACAGTTCTGATCTTATTTTTTCTTCCTTTTTCAATATTGCTTCAATGGTTCATAATGATTTGAGCATTTATTTTTGTAAGGGAACTGCACTAATTAAAATTTAATAAAAAAATATTGAAAATTAAACGAAAACTTTTACTATGCACATTACAGTGTTTTCTGGACTTAGGGTCCCGAAACGAGAGTCACGCCTTTCGGCAACAGTTATGGACCTCCGTCCTCACTCGAGTGATCGTTTTTCCAAGACCAGCTTCTCTAAATAAACCCAAAATCATTAAAAAATACTTATTTAGAATTTTTGTTAAATTCTTTATATTTTCAAAAATAATAATGCCAATTATTACATTCCCTTTTAATTATTTTTTATTTTCCCTAACTTGTTTTTTCAAAAATTTTCTGCTTTTTTAATTTTTGCAAGTTTTTAAACACTAGCTTTCTTAGTCGTTGTATTTACTAATTTAAAATCTAAAAACCAATGTTAAAATAAAAAAATTCCTCTAATTTAAATTAATAAATTGTGAATACATTTCAAACAGATAATATTAATTAAAACTGGGAATACTTTATTTAAAAATAAATTTTCAAAATAAATATTACACTGCGTTTTATAATAGCACTAATATAATAATATGAAACCTCTATTACTTACTGCAAATATTTATTTTATCGAGTAAACAGTAATAACAATTTGGCATACTAACTGACATAAAAATACTTTTAAAACTAATTGAAAGAATAAAATTATTAAAATAGCTCTACTTTAATTTATTCGCGGAATATATCCAGTGGTTCGTTAAGTTTAACAGTTAATTTGCGATAATATTTGTAATACAAATGCTTTAAGTGTTTGTTTTTCTATGCTTTTGTTTGTTTCTTCTTTGTGTATGTTGGTATTTCGATAAATGTGTTAAGTATATAAATAATTGGGTTAGATAATTTACGTAACAATAAGATTGATTATATAATTCAGTTTTTGGAGTAAAATTTTCGTAAATAGCACTACAAGGATCACTCGATCTTACCATCAATCAGCATGTTACCAATTGGAGAACTGCAACGATAGTGACATTCACTTTTTCAAAATATATAATATACCTCACTACTCTTTTCTTGTTCATCATTATCTATCAGTTCGGCTAGGATACTAGTTTTTTGTTGGAAAACATTCGTCAGGAACCAATTTTCATTCAACAACATACAAATGACGGAATATTTATTCTACAACTGCAGTTGATCACACTTAATGCCCAGGCATTAGGTGGCTACTTTTAGATCCGGACAAATTTAAGACTAACAAATGTTCATATTACAAATTAACGTCCCGAAAGAACAGGTTTTGGACAATAATAGGATATAATTAAAATGACTCAAACTTGTGTAAACACTAAACTAAAGACGAAAAAAGTTACCGGAGATCAGCGTGTTTAAATATTTAATAAAATCAGGCGACCGCTTTCGGATTTACAAAACTGTCAACACAACTTTCGTCCGGTAAATACATCCACAAAAACAGTCACATGAATAGTGGTTTGTGACATCTAAAAATGGCGTTTTATTTCCGTCAAAAGGTAAATTCACAGAGCTAGGATAGAGCATAAAAGATACATACTTATACGTATTTAAAGTCTCATTCCAGGAGATGGGTATGTGTGAGGATGTTACTGACCCAGCATTTGCCTATTATTATGAGAAAACCTATGAAATAACTCAGAGTAAGCCAGGCAGCTGTGGGAATTGAACCTACTACCTTCCGAATGCGAGGTCGTTGCGTTGCCGCAGAGCCACCTCGCTCGGTCAAGCCCACTGTTTGTAAACTAGTACGGTGTACCTACTCCGCGACAACGAATGAAATCATGCGCGCAAATACGTCACAGATATACTTAATTCAAATATTGTTATTGTATTTAATATGTTTCAGATGATTTTTGCATTATTTGTGATAAAAGAGCTTTTTTATTTATTTGACGCTCAATTTAAAAATACATTTTGTCAGTTCCTAGTAATATGAACAGTATAATGTACTTAAAAAACAGAATAAAACAACCTTGTATTATAATAATTACAGAATACTAGTACAGGTTGGAATGAAAATTCGATACGAGTGGAACATTCTGAACGAGAGCGTATGCGAACGTGAAGAACTACGAGTATCGGATTTTCTTTCCAACAGAGTAACAGAATGTACTTTCTCCACGCCAGAACTACGAGTATCAGATTTTCATTCCAATAGAGTACCGTTCTTTCTCCGTGGCCTTGGACACAGTAGGAATTGAATATATTAAAATAAATTTTTGAACAAAATGAAATATTTAATCTAACTTATGTTTTTACTTAAATCATTTGCATAATTTATCAGTTCAGGAGGAGTAATATCAAATTCCATATCAGAATCATTATATTCGCCCATTTTTGAATTTAAGTTCGACTTATCTTTATCTTTGTCGGTTGTAAGCAGGTAGGGTTAGGTTTGGCCCAGAACACTGCGGCCTCTTAGGTCTATTGCATTTCCCTGCTTTCCCCGTATTCAGGTACTATCTTTGGAATAGGCCTGTGTCTTTGGTTAGTTTTAATAAGTTCCCTACCAAGTGCTCCTGGGGCGTTCTTTCCGGTTCTGGGCCGAAAAGGATGAAACGTCGCCTAGTAAGAGCTTTGCATTCGAAGATCACATGGTATGAGGTTTCTTCCTCTTCTATGCAGAGTCTACACGTAGTGGGATCATTGTGTAATCTCATCACATGAAGGTGTTTCAGCAAGCAGTGTCCCTTTAGTAATCCCACAATGGTGGATATCTGAGGCCTTGCGAGTTGTAGTGCCTCAGTAGCCATGCGTGGGTTTGGTCCCCTTAGCATGAGCTTATTGATTCTGTGAATGGTAGATTTGATCCCTCTTTGACGAATTCATCAGCCTTTTGATTTCTTTGGATACATTTGTGCCCTGGTCCCACGCTAGTTTTACCTTGTTGTGGGTTGCCAGATCATTTAGTATTCCAAGGCAGTTCCAGACAAGCTTTGACTTGATTCGGTTTGAATTAACAGCCTTTAAGGCTACTTGGCTATCTGAGAGAATTAGGATGGTTTGTTTTTTGTACTTCTTAAATTCTCTCGTACGCACAATTCGATTGCATGTATTTCAGCCTGAAATACAGTGGTATGTTTTCCCAGTGAGACGATGATGTCGCATTTGGGTTTAACTTTATGTACGCCAGAGCCTGTTCCTTTGTTAGTTTTAGATCCATCCATATACCATACGAGACCGCTAAGCAAGTATTTATCTATCTCCTATTTACCTCGTTCCAGTTACAGTTGACCTGGAATAGTCTGTTGAAGGTTAGGAGGAGTGTCATGTGATCTGATCCCATGTTTAATATAGAATCATTTACTTCATGCGTTATTCTGGGTTCCAGTTGTTGGAGATTTCCAGTCTGTATGCACTCATTCTGGCCTCCCACTTTATGGCTAGGTCAAGGGGTGGGAGGTTTAGAATAATTTCCATAGAGGCTGTCGGTGTACTTCTCAGTGCTCCTGTAATACAAAGGCATGCCAGCCTCTGAACTCCTGAGAGGGTATTGAAGGCTGATTTCTGCTTTACTTTTGGCCACCAAACAACCGCTCCATAAGTTATCATAGGTCTTGTTATTGCCAAATATAGCCCGTGGACCATTTTTGGTTTTAATACCCATGTTTTTCCAAATGCCCGTCTCTCTACAATGAGAGACATTTTACATTTGTTGGTCACTTTTTGTAAGTTTTGGATTAGACCCAGATATTTTACTAATAAGAGATGGGGAAACTACGGCCCGCGGGCCAAGTCCGGCCCGCGGGCCAAGTCCGGCCCGCGGAAAGGTTTAATCCGGCCCGTTTAAGAGTGCCGTCGTGAGGATGTTTGAACGCGTTCTTACTTCGTAATGTGACTACCCGCATAAAAACTACCTGCGGCGATATCCAAAACACAATATTATTCTGGGCCAATCCATCCGACCTAAACAGATGACTCATCTTCGCTCGAAACTTCCAGACACTCTCGCATTTTCGATTAATTGTTCTGTTTTCTCGATAGAACCGGAAAACTCCAATTTCCGAACAATCCTTGCAGGTAGGTAAATACAAGCGATGCCGCCCGAAGATCAGTTAGTTAGCGACTTAGTCAGTCATCTGCAACGACCCGCTGTGACTCGAGTAATTGTTTGTGTAATCCCCTAAACTCCCACTGCCTCAACAAAAGCCCGCGCAAGAGCATTAGTTAGCAGTAAGCTTTCGTCAATTGCGTTTCTGTGTGTTGTTCTCCGTAGTAGGTAACGTCTAAAATGGATGTTAAAAAAAGAAAAGTGGATTCAGAATGTCGAGTTTTTAAAGAATGGACGTGGAAATATTTCTTTACTTTATTTAAAGAAAAACCTGTGTGCTTACTTTGCAATAAAACTGTTGCAGTTTTAAAAGAATATAACATTCAACGCCATTTCAAGAGCAAACATGAAAATGAAAATTTATGTCCAGATAATTTCCCAAATCTAATTACTCATGCAATGAAGATAATGACAATGTTCGGCTCATCTTATATATGCGAACAAATCTTTTCAACAATGAAGCTTAGGAAAACTTCTTTAAGAAACAGAATTACAGATGAGCACCTTTCATCAGTTTTAAGAATCTCTGCTTCGCAAATGGAACTGGACTATGATGAAATTTTGATGAAACAGTCTCAATTTCATTTTTCTCATGCACCATCAACCAGTAATAACACCAGAAAATAAAGTGATAATACTTCACATCAGGAACTACACTAAATTCATTTTATATTTTGTGCTTATAATTTTCTTACCTTTTGCTTTTTTACTATTAAAATAATAAATGTATGTAATAATATATGTATATGTTTATAGAACACATAAATGTTTTAACGGTTAAGCATTATTCTTTGGCCCGCTACGATTGTCTAGTTATTACAAATGGCCCGTCTTAAAAAAAGCTTCCCTAACTCTTTACTTGGTTCGTTTTGTTTAGCTTTCCTCTAAACAGAGTCGGAGTTTCTGAGACCTCCAACCTTGTTTTCCGAGTAAAGGTTATGAGTTATGCCTTGTCAGGGTTTACCAAGAGGTTTTCCCCAACGCACCACATTTCTGTCAGCGTAAGAGCTCTTTGCATGAGTTCGAAGACTGTGGTTTGGTGTTTCGCTCGGATAAGGATGACTATGTCATCAGCATATCCTTTCGACTTAACAAACGACACTTATCTTTATTCAGGCAAATTCAAACTAAATAATAATACGTCGCGTAGAACTGTCAATTATGAAATTCATGGCTATCTACAACGCGGAGGCGATATTCACATTCATTTGCCAGTAGCTATTACAGAATGAACATTCTGTCACTAGAGTTAGAATGCAATACATAAGAGGCAAGTATTTCAGAATTTTCATTCAATCTGAAGAACGAGAAGGTTTTCTTTTTGTTATAAGTGTTTTTGGAAGAACTACATTCAGTAGTGACCGTGGATAAAAACATTGTTTTATTTACCGTTCGTATAAAAATAGAAAGGATACATAACTAATGGTTAATGCATATTTATGCTAATTTACAAGCAAGATATGAAATTTTATTTTTATGTACATTCGAACCGGACATTTTTAAACATGTTCAAATGTCTGAAAGACTAAAGCAGTTGATAATAATCTTTAGTATTGAAAATACTATTAAAATAATTACACATACAATACAAAGAGGATATTTTAACAATACATAATCGGAACATTTGAATAAAATGTATGCATTTATGGGGCCCAACCACTTCATATTCCTTCTGGTAAAATTTATGTCATCAAATCACTGTCATTATCTGCAATTCTGTCTTCAACATTCTACTCGTAAAACATCATCCAAAAAAACCACATCTTAGATTTATTTCAGTAGCCCACTTTTGTAAAGTTGAAATTCCCGGCGAGGGATACTTAAGAGTATTATCTTTTACTCAAATATCATATCGCTAAAGCTCTAGAAATTTCTTCTGAAGTCCAACAGGTCCTTGTTTTCTTCTTTAAAATTATTTAACATTGATAAATTTTCTAAAACAATGTTGCACCCATATTTTTTGTAATAATCGTATTTTGGGGAAGGAAAAAATAATATTCTTTCTTTTGGCGATTTTTGTTGGGTCAAAAAGTGTGTTTGCAAACATGAAATTTTATGAAAATCATTCCAATTGCCCCTTGCTGTTTTGTAGCTTATCTTAAAAAATCAAACTACCAAGAATATAAAAATTCTAGCACTGTGAAATAGTCCAGAAATAAAAATATTTATAAACACCACTAAACAATAATAAAATACTGGATTTTTGTTAACTATTGTACGAACCTCAGCAGAATACTTGCTTTATATTTCTGTCACACCGCAATAGTTTACCCGTGAATTAAGCCACGAATTTTATAACTGGAACTAGATGCAATTTTATAACGCATGTGCATAAATAATTATTTATCCAACTGATTTTTTTGAACGAATCTTTTATTCTACGTAAAAACATACTATTAATATTTTTGTATTTTTTCTTTATGTTGCCTTTTGTGTTTTTTCTCGCAATTTACAAATGATTACAAAAACAATAAACTAACGATTGTAATTTCTTTTTTTTTTTGTTGCAGAATCTGGAAAACTTGAAAACAGAAAATCAGAGGTTAAAAGATGAAAACGGTGCTCTTATCAGAGTGATCAGTAAACTGTCGAAGTAGCATAAGTTCTAGTTGTTATCATTCATTGCATTTTATGTTTTAAGGTGAATTAATAATTTATTGTCTTAGAGAGTAATTAAACATTAGGACACAGGTCGATTCACAAAATGAGTTATAACAAAGGATTTTTTAAAGAAATAAATCGATTGAACATTGGATTTAACGGAAAATTGTGATATATAATATATATTAATTAGTTTGCTCAAATTTTTTTTTTTTAATAACTTGCAATAATGAATAGTGATACGTTTTTGTATGAATCGCCCTGTATACGCTATTTCGAAAACATCATCGGTTCCGTTTTGTGAATCGCCCTGTACGAATATGGGGCCTTACACTTTTTAATCCAGAAATCAGGTTTGGCCCAGAATCCACCCCCTCCCCGTATATAATGAAAAAAAAAATCTTAATTTATATTATTTTTATTTATACCCTAGTACAAACTGTATTATGTGAGACGTTTTAGAACTGGTTTTATTTTATAGTTTGTCTCACCACTGCATTGCGGATGTTTTTTATTTTGGGAGTTAATTTTTGGCACGTTCTTGACTTGTATGTATATACTTTTTTTGTAAAAAAAAGTCGCCAAGCGATTTTATTTATTAGACCGTTTAAGATTTAAAATATTTATTTTAGCGTGTGGAGTTTATTCCAAATTTGACTCTTTGTCAATAATCTTCTTCAAATATATCAAATTGAAGCTGAAAAAATAATGCAGAATCTTCAACAATACAATACCTCAAGTTGGTTAAAATAATGCCACTGACGAATTTGACATAACTGACAATTAAATTGTCATAAATTTCTTGCTTCGCCATATCACGTGAAATATGGTTATTGTTGAAAGCTCTGTATATGAATCTGACGACAAAACATATTAATTTCTTCCTAGAAATATCTAAGGTTTATATTCTTTTTGTGTAATATCTAATGTCACATCAAATGTCAAAAACGTTTGATTCTCTTCTGGTATATCTCCGATGCCACATCGATGGCTCAATCAAAAACCGCCACAAGTCAAAACAAAGAAAATTACATTTTTGGTTCAATGGATGCAAAATATCATTGGAGTTTTTATTTTAAATATCGCTACAAACCAAAATATTCTTAAGAGATGCCCAAAAATCATTTAAAGTCTAGCCACAACTCAAAACTGTATCTAAAACTCCCTCAATTCGGGTTATTTTCTGCAAAACATCCAATTTTTTTTACAAACTACGCAATAACTCGAGTTACGGTGCTTTTATAATCGTAATCGTTAATTTTAAGAGCAAAATGTCGTAGCTTTTAAATAAAATATAAAGATTTTATGTCAAAAACAAAATAATGATAATAGAGACTTACAAATTTCAAACTGAAATTCCTCGAAACAATAGTATTTTAGTTGTGGCAGTATTTGATAAAGCCATCGACATAGTGATTATTGTTTGAAATAAATATTTAGTACGTTTTTGATGCTTGACCTAATTCCCGACGTTTTAGGTATCATTTTTGACGTTTGATTTGTCTTTTTTCGCACCAGTGCACATAAACAATATCCTACAATACAATAACCTGATCAGACATCAGGTTACTTTTTAGTTTAATAGAGTAATTTTTCTTTAGACACTTTTTCAGAGTTTAAATTGGAATAAGCTCCATACAAAACTAAATCTTCCGAAAAATGCCTTGATAAAAAGACTGTAAACATTAAAAATCAACGATCAACGACTCGTAACTAATTCGCAGCTACGAGAATAAAAGAATCAAAAGCACTATTGCATAGTGCAATTATTGTCTTTGAATCTGAGTTTTACCAAATTTTTATTTCACTGCGTTTATCGATTATCTTTAGACACATCTTTTGATTTTTATAATCTCGAAGCCATTTGTATCATAAAGTTTATACTTGAATTTCTTGCTTTGTTGTGACCATAGGGCGCTTGCATGAACTGCTTACATGACACAGTTCACTACAATTCCAGCACTTGGTAGTCTTTGTCTTCATCTTGTCAGTAAGGCTCTTCATCATGTTAACCAATTGGTTGCGTTTATCTTCCACTTTTTCCTCTTTTACAGTCTTTATTTGCTAGTGTGTATCCAAAATAAACCTGCGTAGCTGCCTCATATTCAAGAGCAGCGACAAGACATCGACCAATGTTTTGTGACGGGCTAAATGGAGTGTTCTTTGCATTTCATGGTCACATAGACCATCAACAAATTTTTGGACAGCCAAACATTCTATCATATTTTGTGGAGCTGATGGGTACTCAAATCGTACCAACCTGACAATATCTACTTCATATTCTTGGAAGAGCCTCGTCTCGTTTCTGTTTGCGATTCTTTAACTGTGATTGATACAAATGCTCGTATTGTTTGTGACCATATCGCATTAAATAAATATCAGAAGCAACTGCATTTTCAAAAAAAAAAAAAAAAAAAAAAAAAGATATTTGAAGAAACTGGAGAAATTATAGAGAAAGACGCATTATCTGAAAATAGATATGTACCCGGCACCTCCATCCATGGCATGCGAACCATTTTCGACTATCCGCGACCATAGTGAGCTTTGGAGGTTAACTTATTTCAACGGGTATTATAGGTAACGGAAAAATGGAAGCCTCAAAAGGCTTAAATAAGAGTGAGTGACTTCAAAAATTAGAGCATGACCGGACAAGACCTCTAAGCTTATTGTAGCAGCTACTCTTGAGAAAACCAATTCCTGATTCTCTTTCATTGTTTCCTCAGATTTTGTGTGCTGTACACCAAAGGACCATCCCCCTATAATAATCAGAATTACTTTTAAAGATAAATGCATCATAAAAGCGCAATATCCCTTAAATACTGTTTTTTCAAAGTTTCAACAGTTGATTTTCGTATATGGCATTTTGGGAGTCCATAAAATACTTATGACCATAGTCTGAATGGGTGACCAAATTGACAGAGCCTGGTGCCCGTTTGGACCGTGGAATATATGTTTAGAACGCTGAAACGCAAGCCTGATTGAGGAGAGCCAGTGGCTAGACTCAAGTCTGATGGAAGGGAACCTGTCAGAATCCCTCAGGGGGAAAGAGGGATGCCTGAAAGCGTGAAGACAAAGTAATCAGGTAATATTTATTGTTCAAGTCAGGCATTCACCAGTATTCCATCATCTCCTGGTATATGTTTAAGAGTGAATACTATACCAGGGATTTGAGAGAAGATTGCAAATAAATTTCTTATTCTTTGACTTTACAACCTATGAGTTCAACCTGTTCTTGTTCAACAATAGTCGCCATTGGCTTCTACTTTGTACTCTTCTATATCCTCTACAAACTCTACTTACTTTTTCAACAAAATCATCTTTTTAATTTTTTTGGTTCTTCCTCTAATACTTCCTCCAAAACTTCTCTGATCTATAGCTCGTTTGCTTCTGCTTTGTCCGTCCTAAACTATCATTCTCTGGTCGTATCACTTAGGTGTTCGCCCGATCTAACTGCTAGTGCCTTTTAAACACAAAGTGTAAATTTTTTGATTCTAGTTTTTGTAGACACAATTTGGTCCTTCGAGCCCGTATATTTGGTAAATGCAAGCGAATTAGAATTTGGTCAAATTCGGAGCTTATTATAAATCGCTAGTTTTGCATTTTTATATGTAGCGTAAACAATATACACATCGTTTTTTTGGGTACAGCATTTTATATATAAAAACATTCTGCCCAAACCTAGTTTTCCATTGAAAATTGAGCGGACCGTCGTCTAAAGTTTTTATAGTACTTAGAGTATTATTGTTTGTATTTATTGACTTATCGACAATATTTGAAATGTTTGTAATATATAAGGTAGGATTCTACAGGATGTTGTAAAGTTTTCGGCCGGATGCAAAACGAATTTGACTTTATTTTGACGTATTCAAGTTTTAAACTTTTCTTTTAATTAAAAGGAAATGTATATATTGAACACATAAAAGTTTTGGGTTATGGTTGTTGATGGGTGTAATTTTGGGAAAAACTATTATAATGGTTATCGCAGAAATGATTAAAAGTTTATTTGGGCGTAGTAATAGCTCAAACATATCCTTAGTAACGAAAACCATCTTTCTCTGTCCTAAATGTACAAAAATTACGTACACGATTTTTTTTTTTAAATGAACCCTTTACTTAAATCTATTAGTTTGGAACGAACTCAAGCAATTCTTAAATATAACACCATTAGTGGATCAAACTACAATCCATTGCACACTCTAAGTCTCCATATTTGTCAACTATTTCTATGCATTCTTGTTCTATAAATGGCGTTGTTAACGTATACAAATTCCTGTTGTTATGTTGTTTTCAAGACTAATTTCTATTGTGGCTGTAGTTGTTGTAACGGCAATCAATCTATTTGAATTAGAATGTTTTAAAACCCACAAGTTTCTTTAATGAATTGGGATCCAGTTATAGTTTTCTAAGCTTATTTTCTAACTAGGTGGTATCTTCCCTATTGCCCCATCAGTTCTCATGCTCTCGGCATCTATTTCAAATTGACTGCCATGTTTGGCAATAAAATATCTTCTGAAACTGCGACATATTTACATTTATGTTCATTTTGTTTCAATCATGAATCTTAAACATATCATCCAGCTTTCTGAAATTGCTCCTAGCTCTATTGAGTGGATTTAAGTGAGTTTTTCATATGTTTGAACGGCTGGTCAATATAATTCTGATAATTTTAAGTTTATTTTCATCTTATGGCAGCGCATGTTTCTAGTGGTACAAATGCCCTTTCGAACTCTGTAAATAGTAAATAGTGTTTAAAATGGCTGATGTCATTTTCTCTCAGTAGATGACGTCCAACTACTCCCTTAATTCTTTGAGGAATTTAGAGAACAGTAACAAATCTTTAAATGTACATTACTTTACGAAGCATGTTGGCTAAGCGTGGTTTATAAATATGAATTTAAGTAGAACACGGTGTTTCCAAATGACGTGGTCGAACCTTATTGGTATTTTAAATCAGACGAGATCTGTTTTTGGAACCAAATAAACTGTTGTTATAAATAATGAACAATCGGTTTTAAAATTTCGGAAACTTATTGGTTATAGATCCGAAAACTAAGATATTAATATTTTTTAGAAATCCACACACAAATCCCTAAATTACCTCTTGGAATAGAAAAATATGTTAGTATTGCATATAACGAAAATTTAATACTCACAGACGACCTGGGAAAGTGTCTGCATGCATTAGCATGTTTCCCCAGACGTAGTTTGTTAAAAAAATAATTGTGGTTTGATTCGGAATCTTATTCAAATAAACAATTTGGATGTCGGAGACTTATGTCTCAGCTCAATTGGTTAAATCAGTGTCCGTAGAACACGAATAGGCGGATTCCAATCCCCCTGTGGTCAGATTTTTAAAATGTTTCATTAAATTTGTTTTCTCGTTTGGGGGTTCACAATTATTGTTTTTTATTTCGTATGGATAATTTTGGAATTTGTTTGAGGATTGTCAAAGAATTTAATACGAAAATTAACCAACTATAATTCAAATAAATTGAAACCAATAAAAAATAAAATGATGTTTATAAAAAAACTAGCAGAGTCTTATTGCTTAAATTGCTCCAGAAAAAATTGTTTGAAATGAGGCTTACTTAGAAGTGATGTGGGTACGATAAAATTGGAATTTTGCCAAGCTTGACTTACAGACATCCTGTAAAAAATAGTTAAAAAAATCCGTTCTTGTTATGTATTTTTTCCTTTCTCTAATGTGTGATATAATATTTGCTTAAAGTAGTACTGTCATTGCCATTTATTTTTTATTTTTTTTTTTAGTTTTTTTTAACATACCTATTGTCCTATTCTTACTCACTATCCCCATTATATCATATTACGATTTTTTATTATTGTTTATCTTTTATACTTAAGTGAATAAGAGGGTAAGCATCCCAAGAAGAATTTTGCCAAATAGGTTTCTTTAAGTCACATATATACATCAGCTAAAAACGTTTTTTTTTTTGTTTAGAAAATGAATTAACTTTTCAAATATAAATATTACAAAAAATAATATCAAAGAGATGTGTCCTTTATTGTTGGGTGAGAAAGAAGTATTTTTGTTGGATACCGACCGTTAAAAATTGGCGTTTGTTATAAGAGCTGTATTCAAATTAAATAATGCAGAAATTCAGTAAGTATAAAAACCACAAGTAACTTTTAAAGTATTTGTTTTAACAATTTCCAGGTAATTAAAGATGGTTCTTTACCTTCTATCTGAATTAGGGTGTGGTTCAAAGCCAAGTCGTTCTGAAAGGTCATTTTCTATCCCATTAGGTTAATATTGGCATTTTATGTGAATGAGTTTCCTCCTCCTCTTCACATTTTCTACATAGGAAATCGTCAGATATCCTTTAGAGATTTGGGTGTCTTCTAAGGCCGCAATGTTACATAAATAGTTCTATTGCGGTCTTTTGCTAAGGTTAGTACCCTTCCGGTAAGTCTGGAGTTTGGGTCCTTTAATGATAGTATCAATTTCAGTGCTCTGTGATTATGATGAATTTTGTGTTGTAAACATAACTTTGGAATGTTTTGACTCATTAAATGATATCTAGCAATTATTTCTTTGTGGTGTAAAGCTTAATTTATAACCGCCGTAACGTAACTTAAGAACTTAACGTAAGAAGTTGAAATATTGAATTTACGTATACTTATTTATAATGTTCGTAACGTAACTTAAAAACTTAACGTACCGTAGAAAGTTCACCAACTTTTAACTTAACAACATAACTTAACTTAAGACCTTACGGTTAGCCAATGAGATAATTCTGCGTTCAGCATGTGATAACTGTCAATTATTCTCTTATTTTTTTTTTATAAATAAATAGAAAAATACCATTTGTAAACTATCATTCTCCTTTTTGATGAACATACATTATCATGAATGATTTGTGTTTATGTTATTGGGGATAAACTATCTATGAGATATGAGTGTAGCTGCATATACCTATAAACATCAAGTCTAGAACTGAAATAAGACACAAAACTTTTTTGCTAGGAAAGATTAAATTCTCATTATTTCTCAAAAACAATCAAGATCTTCGGTAAACTATTTTGTTTTATTATATTTTATATTATTGCTTTTAAAGTATAGTTAATATATTCTTTCTATATAGCAAAATCATAATTTATAAGTTTTATTTAGAGGTTAAGTACATAGTTTACACTTGTTTATTTCATAAGGTTGTCAATAATTTGATAATCTCTGAAATCAACACGCATGCTCAACTCTTACGTTATGGACATTTATAAATAGACTTTATTTTTATATCTTAGGTTAAGTTTCTACGGCGTTAAGTTAAGTTACGTTACGGTGGTTATAAATTATACTTAATAGTTCATCTTTACTCTCTTTCCTACTTGAATATGCAATTGGCGTGAAATCTGGGAATATTAATAGATTTCTGACGTAAGGGATTTTTTAATTGGTTCATTGCCTATATAACTTCTGTGATTTTGAATTTATTTTCTTTCTTCGTGAATTCGACTAGTGGTGCTGAGATTTTGGTTATCTTCGTCATCCTCTATACTAATTGACGATGCCCAGGAATCCTTGTAATCTTTTGACGTTGTTTGGAAATGGATAATTGTGTACTGCGTGTAATTTTTCTGGATTAGTGAAATTCCTTCTTGGGAAATCATGTGTTCCAGATATTGCAGTTGCGGTAGCATAAAATTGCATTTTTTGGCTTCAATTTTGTTTGCGTTCACAAATCTTTGGAAAACTTCCTATTTGTCCCTCCGTCCGGGTTGAGAATGAGATGTCGTCCAGGTGCACCATGCAGTTTAATCAAGTTCTTCAAGTGTGATATTCATGAAACGTTGGAATGTGGTTGAAGTATTCACTAACCCAAATGGCATCTTTGTATACTCTACATGTGCTGGAGTGGAATGTCCTTTTCGTTCATGTCAATTTGGTGGTATGCTTCTGCGTCATCTGTCACTGAGAAGATTGTTTGCCCTCCTTTGTTGTAGCTCTGTAACAGGTCTGAAATATTCCCTCTGCATTCTATTTTAATACTAATACTACGAGGCTAACCGCGGACTTTCTGACAGTCTGATGATTTTGACTTTTAGTAATATGTCTACCTCTTTTTGTTATACGTCTCTTTGTTAGCAGGGTATCCTGTATGCTCCTGGTTCTAATGTTATTGTGTATTTAACTTTCGATGCGCTTGTCAAGATATTTTCGTCGTCTGTGAACAGAAAGTGATATTTTCTTAGTAGTTTGATTAGTTTCGCTTTATCTGGTTCCTTCTCAAACCCTTCCTGGATCAATTTGTCCTAAGAATTGTCGGTCGTTCATTTTTACTTTTTAACAGACTTCAGAAAAGAAGAAGGTTCTCAATAATATGTCGTAATATTTTTTTATGTATGTTCAGCGATAATTGTTTAACACGGTGTCCGATTTTAATGATTCTTTTTTTGTTAGAAGGGGGTACTTTTGGGGTGGTCCCATATTAATTTGGTTAAAATCTAATAATTGGGTCCAATAGAAAATTCTTAAACTCTTCATTTTTAATGTATATTTAGCGGTAATTTTTTACCACCGATTTCTATGATTCTTTTTTTGTTAGTGAAGAAGTACCTTAGGAGTGGTCCCCTAAAAATTTGGTCATCTGCACGATTTTGAAGTCGGTTTTTTAAAATTACTTTTATTATTCTTCTTGATTTATCTTTTAGTCTTTTGTTGTTTTCTCATATGTCATCAATATTTTTTAACGATGTCTCAGGTATTTGTTGTGTTGTCCTGTGGTCCGTTTCTCTCGTTTGGCTCTCTGTTCGTTTTCTTGTGGTTTTCTTCCCCGCATAACTCTTTTCTCCCGTCATAAATTGGTTTTCCTGTTAGGGTTTGGTAGTTTTTCTGCTCCTAGATGGACTCTATATGATTGTTTTGGACTGTCTGGTGCCTTAGCCGATGGTAGATCTATTGGAGAAAATTAAAAGTTTATATTTGGATACATATGGTTGTTCCTTCGGAATGGAAGAAGACAAAAGATTTGGAATGGAAATTGACAGTCCTTGGATTATCTTAAGGGAATTTCGGACGTAGTTTACCTTTTTTACAACATAATTTGTCTGAGAATAATTATATACTCTAAAATGTAGTTTAATGAAGTAATTTATTGTAGGACAGTGTGAATATAAATATATAATTGTCTAATGTATTAAAAATCGTCAAAAAATTAGGACGGAACTTATTTTTTAAGTCACCCTATTTTTTATAATATAATGATACAAGTGAACGTATGCTGATTTCTATGTTCGTTTAAGACGTATATTTTTCTTAGATACTGTTTGGCAAAAATTCTTCTAAACGACTTTTGTTTTATTTCGAAAAATATGTTACACATATGTGAATGAATTGTTCAAAATATATTTTTGTAAAATAAAACTGTACTTAGTTTATACTATTTAAATGTAACATATTTATTTTTGAACTAATATATTTGTGCTGTTTGTTATATAAAAAAAACGGAAATTGTAATTTGAATTTTAGGAACTATTTGTTGTTCTCGCATTTTTTTTTTGATATCATTGATTATTGTATTATATTTGAAAAAAATCAATTAAATCTAGTCCAAAGAAATATTGTAACTCTAACTCCTGAAATATAAACCTGTTTATGAAGTTTTTTATTTTTTAATTAATCTGACAGTGGCAAAATGTCTGGTATGTAATTTATACAGGGCGTCCCATAATGAACAGTACACAGAGCAGTAGTAGAATCTTGACGTCAAAATACGTGTTTCATAATAATGCACATGCATCATCATTCCGGTGGGAAGAAGACTTATGAAACAATTTTAAAGTAAAACAAATAGTGATTTAGAGTGGAAATAAGTCCAGTTGATGGCAAATCGGAGGCGTGCTTATTAATTTTTGAGAGGGTTAAGAATGAACCAAAAATGCCTATTTAAAATAATCACAAATTTTTTATTTCATTAAAACTTTGCAATATTGTAATTTACCTAATCGTTGTAGTAATTAGTAGGGCTTTATGAAAACGGAGTAATAATTGTGGTAATTATAGTAGGTACCAAATAAATTAACAATATTAATAAAAATCACAATATATATTTAAAATAAAAATAAAGACCTAAATATATAGACTTCTTCAACCTCAGATTCGTCACTGCTGCTACCGCTATCATCAAAGTTAATTTTGATTGGTTCAATATTGTGTTCAATACGGTTATCTACGTCCCACATTGTTTGCTCTTCTTTTAAAACATGCTAAATGCATTTCTTCCAGTCTTCTGCAGAAACATTTTAAACGGCTTCTTGCAGGAATTGTTGCACGTCGACTAATTTAAATGTTCTGTTTTCTCGTGCCACATATCTTTTACTTCCGCCCATATTAATTATATTGGGTTTAATTCGCAGTGGTACGATGGTAACCTTAAAACTGTAATTCCACGACTTACCGCCATTTCAGCCACGGCGAATTTTTTATATTTGTCTGTGTGTAATTTTGTTAGCTGAAGTAGTTCTGCGTTTAAACTATCTTTTTTATATTGGATGTTTTTATTAATTAACCATTCTTGAATTGCTGCTTTTTTCCATGATTGTTTTGGTAATTATTCTAAATGCCGACTATGATATGGGGCATGACGACGAGAGACCCAGGTTCCACAAATTGAATGATGCCTTCAAACCATCAAACATTTCCGCATTCATCTCTTCATGAAAGTTGTCTCTTTTTTTAGACAGTGAATTTTTACTAAATGTATTTATGAATAGCTGCCAGGTTCCAATCATGTGCGAGGAGCCGACGAAGAAAACTTTTATAATTTCTCTTAAAAATTCATATACCTTATCTTACTCAGCTCATAAGATCGTTTGAAGTCAAAAAAAAAGAAAGAAGTAATATATTCTCAGAGCTGCTGAAAATTAATTAACTTCTACTTTAGGTTGTTGAAATATTTTAAGTTCATACATTTTTCTCGAATGGAAAGAAAAGTTTCATTTACCACATACTTTATTTAAAAAAAAAAAATATTGCTAGTTTGTTTTATGGTTAATGAATCCATTTTTGTTTGTTTTCGCCCATAAAGTACCTTAAGACAATTATATAAAACGGATACAGAAAAAAATCATTTATTGTAATTCCCTCTTATTATTTTATTTTCATTTCCAAATTTATTGATGCCCAGACCAATTACTTCTACCAAACAATTTAATATTAATAAATATCCTTAATGTTAAAAAGTATAAAATTTCTATAAGAGACAGTAGAGAAAATCCAACGAACAGGCCCAACAGTCCTCCAAAATTGGCCAGAAAATCGGTGATTCCGAATAGTTCGTTTCTTTCCATAGTCACAAACTGGTTTCCTTTGAAAAATATTTGGAACGAAGATAAGTGTTTTCTAAAAAAAAAAAAAAAATTATAATTTAATTTATAAGTACAAATTTTTTAACCAAAAAATTTTAAAAATATTTTTTTCCGTTATGAATACGAATCAAAAGTACGAAGTTATTCAAAGTAGTGTCATCAGGAGGTGGTATTGCCAACGTGGGTAAACTCCGATCAATGTGTAAAGCTGTATAATTCCAAAGATATCGGATATAATCACGGTTCGTAGACAACACGGTGTCGTACATTAATTTTTAAAAACACTTTTATTGTTATGTGGTGTTTATATTTTTATTATCGAACTATCGGTAGTTTGATTTTTTGAAAGACGAGCTACAAAACACCAAAGAAAATGTAATGATTTCCATCAAATTTCAAATGAATCACTTTTTATTTGAATTATAAAGAGATATTATTTTGTGAATGATTTACTTTAAACATTTTGAGTTATGGTACGACCTCCGGGCTGAATTCGTATCACACTTTGTTTATATCCCGAAATATTTTGAAATTTTGTCGAGCCTGAATCGAGCCGTAGTCGTCCATAGGATTGCTGTTGCCAACTCTTTTTTAATTTTTACACAAAAAAATCGTTAGAGAAAATAAAGGGACTGAGCCTAAACTGAAATTAAAGGCTAATGGTAAGATTTTCGATTATTTTTCTGAACATATCATTCACTAATATTAAATTAATTGCAGCTTTGTCCACCCTATATTTAAAAGCAGACCAGATGGTTTCTTACAAGCATTAAACAACGAAGAGCAAGAAAAGTCGAAGGGCTTTACTAAAAGAACCTACATTATTGAAAAAACAGGGTTTTCTACAGGAAGATTTTAGTAAAAAGTAGTTGCAATTAACTATATAGAAGAAAACAAGGGCCTGTTGTTGGACGAAGAAACATACAATCTATCGAAAATATTTTGTCAGTTTCTAGGATGTATATGAACAGTATATTTTACTTAAAAAAAAAACAATAAAACAACAACCCAGTTTTATTATAATAATCTATAAATGTTGGTAGGTACCAAATTAGAGAAAAACAGTTTTATCTATTGTGTGTAGATACATACAATACACAGAGGAGATTTAACATCACACATTATACTTAGGAGTATTTAAATAAATCATCCAAAAGACCATATCTTAGATTTATTTTAGCAGCGCACTTTTGTAAAGTTGAAATCCCCAGCAAGGGATAGCACCTTTTACTTAAATATCTTCTCGTGAATGATTTACAAACTTGTTTTTTTTTTTTTTCGATGTATGGCCTAGGTGTATGGTTCCTAATATGCCAGTCTCTGTTTGTGTTTGAATTATTAATATTTTATGTTCTGTGTAGGCTTTGTTACTGTTTCCTAGCACTACTTTAGGAACAGCACTGGTAATCAGAACCCAACAGTAAATGGTCGAGTGGGGAATCCTACCCATGCATTAGAATTAATATTTATTCTTTTTTTTAATGAAATAAAAATTCCTGCCACCTGGGGGATTCGATCCTGAGACCTTTCGATCTCAAAGTCATGAAACTAATCACTGAGCCAACCCAACTCCTTACAAACTTCTTCTCAACTTCAAAGGGCCCTTTTGTTTTCTTCTTTAAAATGATTTGGAACTATGTACTTTTAACTAATAACTTCCTATAGCAAACCCTTTTTGCAAAAATGTATGTTCTTTTAGTAAAGCCCTTTGACTTTTTGCTCTTGGTTTTTTTTAATGTTTGTAACAAACCATCTCATCTGCTTTTAAATGTAGGGTGGACACAGCTGCAATTAATTTAATAATCGTGAATACTATTTGCAGACTAATTACTCTAAAATCTTACCATTAGTCTTTAATTTCAGTTTAGGCTCAGGCTCTTTATTTCTTCTAACGATTTTTGTATGTACAAAATAAAAATTGTTAGCCAATAGCAAAACTACGGCTTACTCCAGGCTTGTCAAAATTTCAAAATTTTTCGGGATATAAACAAAGTGTGATCCGAATTCAGCTCGGAGACCCTATCCTAATCCAAAATGTTTAAAATATACCATTCACACAATAATATTTCTCTTTATAACTCAAATAAACAGGTAATTCATTTGAAATTTGAGGGAAATGATTACATGATTTTTCCTTGCCGTTTTGTAGCTTGTCTTTAAAAAATAAATTACCGTTTTTATAAAAACTCCAACACTCCATTTTTCATTCCGTAACGCCACACCCTTCCTTAGCAATGGACGGAAGAGGACATCCATGTTGTCTACGGACCGTGGGATAGAATAGATGTTTACATTAAATTTGTCCGCAACATCTTTCTGACAGTTCGCTCTTGGCTATGTTGTCAAATCTTTTCCATCAAATGTTCTGCATTACATTTTTATTAAATTTACTATATTCCCTTTAATATAATCTATTAAAAAAGAAAAATAAAGAATTTTTTTTTTATTACAATCATTTAACATTTTTATTTATCGTCTTTTACACATCTGATTCTTAACCAAGTTTGGCAACATAAGACATTTCGTTGGCGGCGTCAAGTGGCAGCTTAAGTTTTATTGTGCTTTTTTGTGGGTTTTTAATATTATTATATTCCAGAATAATTTAAACAGTGAACTGTTTAAATGGAACACCCTGTAATTAACATCCGTAGCCAATTATTATGAAGACTAGACTTCATACAGATTATATATGTCAATGAAAACTGAATAACCCCATAGTTAGGTGCCATTCTTTTCATCAACCACATGGGTGTCTGTCACTATTATTTAAGTGTCGTTGTGACATTGAGTACCATCCAGTTAGTCAAAATGAACTTTTATCAAAATCACCTATGAATTTACATTGTATTAATGAGTAATTAAATATGAACGTAAAATTAAAAAGCGTTACTACAAAAGCTTAAGAAGAAACATGGTTTTGAGCTTTTTAATGAGAACATCAAATTTTAGGGCAAAGAAACTGGTATGGTAGGTTACCATGATTTTACAATATAAACATACAATTTAATTAGTAGCTCAGCTGATCGCTCTAAAAATGATCAAACTAGAGTCCAACTTTTGGAAGCCAGCCTTAGCTTATATTTAATATTTACATTGTAGAGTGGGAGGTTAAATTACGAATATAAACAGATGAGATCAGTCCACTGATCCTAAATATGACTGGCTTCGGACCCCATGGATAGCAGGCATGAAAAATCAACTTTTCTAAAATTCATTTTTTTTTATTTTTTTTTTTTTATTTTTTTTTCTTATTTTTCTTGCAAAATTGTTGAAGGTTACAATGTGACAAAAATTGTCTTACGTTTAAATGAACAGCATAATATTAACCATTTTGTTTATTTTTACCTTAAAGTGCTACTCCATCCATTAGCTGGATTTTTGCATGTTCTCATATTTACGTACCTTTCCTTTTATATGGTTCTTGGTTAGATAACATAAAGGGACTGATTTAATAAATGGTACTCTTTTTACTGAGTCATTTAATGCCCTCCTACCCTATACTTCTTCTTTATCGTTTGTCAGCAAAATCCAGAACACTTCGTTTTTTCTAGTTCTTTGGAGCTTTTGCTGTGTTCAGGTACTACTGGTATTTTTGAATAAAATGTAAAATTTTCTCCCTACGATGAGGGCCTGGATATTTTATTTGATTTATTCTGCTTATAGCGTTCCTCAACATAAGGGATCTGAGTTGCTTTTGCAGACCCACACGTCTTTTGATATAAAAGATTGTAGTTTTTTAGTTACGTTAGTTCATCACTTAATGACTGTATCTTCAACGGTAGATGTAATGCTATAAAAATTCCATAAAACATCTTATGTTTTTAGCTTCTCTAGAGATGAAATGTTCAACATAGTATCCGATGTAAATAACTACGAATCATTTCTTCCTTTTTGCACTAAGTCAACCATATTGGACAACGTTTACGATGATGGATCTTCCACGCAATGGACAGCTTCTTTAGAAATAGGTTTTCCACCAATTACAGAACATTTTACATCGACGGTCGTCGCTAACAAGCCACACTCGGTACAAGCCTATTGCAAAGATGGTAAACTTTTCGATTATTTAGAAACCACATGGATATTTGATTCGGTTCCTTCGGGTGATCCCAAAACTTGCATAGTGGATTTCTCAGTACGGTTCCAATTTAAGTCGGTATTTTACGCGCATCTGGCGTCCTTATTTTTGAATAACTTGGTGGCAAACATGGAAGATGCTTTTATTCAGGAAGCTAGGAGGAGATACGGAAGGCTATCTGCGCCGGTCTTCGAAATCAAGACTGAAAATATTGCTGATGAATATAAATAGTTGCCTGATTTTGCAATATACCCAATTTAAATAAACCGATTTTTAAAATGTTTTAATTGTTTTTTTTTAACTGTTTATCCAAAACATGATCAAAAACATTTTAAAAACAATATGATCGAGATTGCAAAATACGAAGCAATTCGCGATTGCTCCAGGCCGTACAGGTTAGGTAAATTAGTTAAGTGTATTTTTTAAGGATCAGGAAGTGGCTAAATTACCAACTATAAAGGCGAAATTTAAATGTTTTGGGTTGGTACTATGAAGACTTAAGTCACATTTAAATTTCACAGCCAACTCCAATTACGATTTTTCTCGATAGCCTGTAATATAAGTAATGTAACAAACTATTAAAAATGTTAATCTGCCATACTAATGTAAATAGGTCAGTGGTGTGGCGCATGGGGTATATCTGTGTATCAGTATGTCAGTTTATCAGTGATGGTAGTTACAAGGATAATCAATTCCTACTACAAACTTGTGGAAAAATAACGTTCCCACACGATATGCTATAGCAGTTTCTGAGCTATTTTTTTTATGTCGAGGGTCCGTTAGGAGTTCTTATACCATTCTGGGTATCTATTCTTGGATCTTAGGAAGTAGAAACTTTGAGGAAAGAATGAGACAGAAATGCAAATTTTGTATGTTACAGATAAAGAGGAAAAACCGGTTTTCTACTCTCTTGAATTCAAGAATAGCTACTCGGATACTAAATCCAGCCTATATATATTTGGCGTTAATTTTCTCATTTCCATATTCTATGAATTGTTACCTTTAATTTTTTTTTTGAGATAATTCAAACTTATTACATAATAGCAAAATTTGGCGCAAAGCGAAATTATATTTTCATTCCCACAAAATGTAATTTTCGAATGAAGAAACCCAGCCTTATCTCTTGCGGAAGCTATTTCATTCAAGCCTTTTAAAAACTGTTCTCAAAATCCAAAACAAATGCAATAATAGCTTTTCAGCACTTAGCAAGAGGAAAACCAAAAAAATACTCTGAAAAAAAAAAAGAAAACTATAGCGTTTTGTTTACTTATTGTTTCGGGTGTCATACTGCCTTTTCCAGTTCCATGGTGACTGAGATGTTTCCAAATTGTAGTACATGGACGTGCAAATTGGCATGCAGTCGCATTTGTCTACTGTTTTTGAGTTTTTCCCTTCTCTTTGCATTTTGATTTTTTTTTCAATACCCGTTAGTAGCATTTCACCTACAAAGAGAAAATCACACGATAAATAATAGACAAACTCAATTCATGGTCTTGTACACAACAATAACATTGCAGTTGATCTCACACTAGTTATTATATATCAAGGATGTTATGTTTGTAGGAGTGAATAATTATCCTCATACAAAATCAGTAAAAACTGACACACGCTGCTTTAAAATCATTAATACATTTTATTCACTGGAATTTGGAACATTGGTTACACTAGTAAAATCGTACATGTTTAATTTTGCATTTTCCATTTAATTTGAGACTTGTTATAAAATAAGACGAACAAAGCCGGCTTCAAGATATGATGTGATGTGGTTTGTTTCAACGATGAACTAATAAAAAAAATCAAATTATATTTAATCAAACAATATTATACATAAGGATATCCATCTAATTAGGCCAATAGGCCTGTTTGGATGAATAAAAAAATAAATAATTTTAGTTACGCTCCTGTTTCAGGACTATCTTTGAACAACGCCTAAGTGAGTGGTATTGTGTGTTAATAAAGAGATAAAAGACAGTATTACTGGTTTCTATATCTTGTGTGATTCATGCTGCATCTGATGATATAGTTGACCTTGCAGTTTTTAGGTGTTACAAAATTTCGTTGCATTTTAAAAGGTGGATATAATAATTAAGAAAGATTTAATTATTGGTATTCTACTGGACCGGCTTATGTTTTGTGTTTAAATGCGGACAGATGTACACGTATTTAAAAAGCGGTTGTAGAGGATGATATTCCAGTAAAATGTGCAAATTTCTTGAACATAAAACAAAAATCACTAAAAATAAAGAAGCTAATTTACAACTCTTAGATAATTCAGTTCATCGTGTCTGAGGATTTAGACTTGTTTTTCTAACATTATTTTTTTAACAATAACTGACTCCATTCTGAACAAGGATCCCAAATCAATAAGAGAGGCATTGGAAACGTCACGCATTTCGGAGTTTGGATTTCATTCGGAAGCGTGCGTAGTTATCACTAGGCAGGTCATTGACTTTATTTTCTAAAATGTCATATCAGGTACATACAATTTCCCAAGTTCATATTTAAAAGGTTATTTATTACTAGAGAAGAGAAAATTAATTTAGATCATTCTGGGTACTTACGTTCACTTTGGAATATACAGTTAATTTTTTCTCCTATACATACTTCCGTTTCATTTGCTCCTAAAAAAATGTATGTAATTTTTTTTATTATTTATACTTTTAGTATGGAACCGAGCAAATATCTTTAAAACAGAAAGATGATATTAATGAAACTGCAGGTTTTTGTAATGACGCATAATACATTTAATGCAACTTTTTTTGTTGTTACTGTATTTACGCTTTAACTGGAAGTACCTTTTTATGCTTCTTTAATGGCATATAGAAGCATCCTGGAACTTCTCCATTGATCACACCTCTATTACCAAGCACTCATATAATTAATTGTTTAAATGTTCCCAAGCTAACGTCCATAAAACCTAACTGGCGGTATTTTAAAATCTGCACAGATGAAAACCTAAACTTGAATATCAGATTAAAACAACCAGAAGATATAGATACAGCGGTACATTATCTCACACAAACTATACAGTCAGCAGCAGAGTAAGGCGTAGTTGGTCAATAAGTCATTCCATAGATACAAATGAGTATAATAGATTCCGACAGTTAAAATCAGTTCTGCAGTATGCCCGAAACCAGAAAAGCACTAGTTTTGCAAACAATAATACACAATAGCGTTTTAATATTAGCATAACATAGACTTCTCACAAATAAATAATGATCAATAAACCAAATAAACTTCCGAATAGAACTTCCTCATACCGACCAATAAGCTTGCTACCAATCATGTTTAAAACCGTAAAAAGACTTCTACTCAAAAGAACCTCTGAAAACACCGACTTAAACACACTAATATCAAATCACCAATGTTCTTTTAGGGAAAGTCATTCAACTGTAGAACAATGTCATAGGATCGTTAAAAACATACTGACAAGTTTTACAGAGATAAAAATTATGTACAGCGGTCTTTTTGAAGATTCAACATTTTGATCGAATATGGTATGAATAATTTCTATATAAACTAAAATCATCTTTCCCCACTTTTTATTATCTAATCCTCAAGTCATACCTCAGAGACGAATACTTTCAAGTAAGATTTAACACTGAACTGAAATATCCAACTATTATCCAATACAATCTGGTATCTCTCAAGGAAGTATTCTGAGTTTCCTTCTCCATTTATTATTTATTATTTACTGTTTCCGTTTTAAAGATATTTTCTAGATTCCATACTTTATCTTGATTAGCAACCAATTGCTGTTGTGGCATGTTATAGCAGGCTACTAAAGCTTTAAAAAGTTAGTCATTTAGATAAGGATAGCGACGTTACTTTCCATTGCGACACACCAAGGAATATATTGTGGCTCATTTCTATAATTCTCCGGATAGTAGTTTACTATATACCATCGTAGAGGTGGTGATTAATTAACAACGTTAATGAACAACGTGGATTCATCCGACTGGAGACAACCGTCTTTAAACAAGCCTTACTTAACTCAACCATGGCCTTTATCAAAACGTGTAGGCTTGTACAGTGAATTATGAGCTACAATAGATCCATCTGGGTTGCAGGGGAAGGCGATGAGATCATCATCCTACTCATTTCGTCTATTCAATTTTTTTTAGTGGTTTGATCTGCATACCATCCTTTGTTTTGAAGATACTAGAGATAATTCTACGCATATTAGAGAAGGAAGCCTGCGGGCAAGCCAGTTAACCTCTCGAGGCCTATCACGATATTTACCTACCCACCTAAGGAGAGGATGTTGGGCATCGTGGGCAGTCCTTATTTTGACGTGCAAATGAAAATCACTCTGTGAGTAACGTCATAGCATCCGACTTATAGAATGTTGCGCATCGTGGGAGGTCCTTATTTTAACGTGCAAATTAAAATCACTATGTTGGTGACGTCATGCGCGGGGTAGACGAAAACTGAACACGCGAGCATCGGCCCTGTATACCTATCAAGTAGGTAAAATCGCCCATTCCCTAAAACTCTAGCAGATCGCGCCGGATGTCTTCCTAGATACATATGGTGCGTTCAATAACGTGCTGCTTTCCTCAATCTCTGTTTGTCTCTATTGAAAGAAGAGGAATCGACGAACTGGCTTTTAATCAGTGGCGGCTTGTCACCAACATATTGGGGGCTCACAATGACAGAATATTAATCTCAGTACAGATGTAGGCAAAACACTTTCAGTTTTTAAGATATATTCTAAAACACTGAAAGTTTTTTACCTACAGCTGTACTGATATTTATATTCTGCCATTGTGAAACCGCCACTGTCTGTAACTAACGTCTTGTGGTATTTTAAGGAGGATTTTGTTTCGTAAAATTTAGACTTATAATTTCCAAAGAAATAACAAAATATTCTCATCAAATTCTCACCTCTTGCGGTATTACCCTTGATAATCCAAAACAGTCGAAAATTAATGGAATAGTCTTAATGATCAATAGTTAGTAGGTACATTTAAAGTTTCAACAACATACAATATTTTTTTTCTCACTTGGCATATAAAAGTCAACACATCCACATTTTTCTAACGTGTAGTTTGTCTTGCATTCTATCTGACAGTCCATTTGGGTATAATTTAAAAAATACTGCAATGATTTTTCATTTGGAAAATAGCAATTCCTTTTTTTTGGATCATACCTTTTAACAGAAAATGTTTATGAATAATTTTAAAATGGACTCAAATTAGCTGTATTCTTAGACAGTACTCTTTTCTTTTTGTATGTTTATTTATTAATTACCTTTTTATGGCTTCCGAAGTAGTCGTGATTTCTGGAGATATTGTTGCTATGACTACTTGGTCCAGAGGTACTCTAAAATGTTGCTGTCTTACTCTTGGAATACCAGCGGGTTGACTTATTTGAATCTGCAAATTATTTTTGTTGTATTTTTTTGACTAACATTATTTGTTTCAATCGGTGTAAAATGTTTTCCTTATTTTTATCCCTGTTTTATTAATATTGCATATACATAACGCAATTTATTTATATGATTACTTTAGCAAAATTTTACCTTATATCTAAACTAACTAAAGCTACAACTAAAATAATGATAGAGGACCATGGTCTTCAATGATACGTAGTTTTTGTCTAACTTGTTTTGGACAATGTTTATATCGATTTCTCTTATCTTTTGATATATTTTACGCCTTAGTCTCGCTTTATTTTGAGCTTCCAATTCATTATCATATACTTTTCTGGTTCTCAAACATTTTCCTTGGGTCGATATTATGGTACATTTGGTAGATTGTCAGTTCATAGCACAAAAGGTAGGTATATGTTGAATTTTTAACCATGTTCTAGTCGTTTTGGCTTAATGGCAACTTGCTAAGTCGGGCCAAAACATTATTTTATCCAGTGGATGGGCCGTATTAATAAATTGGAGCATTTTCTGTAGACATTTCTTGATATAAACATGGCATAAACTGCTCATATGTTCAATATAAAGTCTTGAAACTTCGCTTTCCGATATAGCACACCAAACAAGAATAATTAAAAAATATTTTTAAACTAGACCAAGAAAAAAATAATGCGTGTGAATGGATTTCTTTCAGAAGAGTGTATAGTTATCTAGGGCGTGACTCGTGACTCTGTCTTTGTAGATTAAAGCCTACTTTAGAAACATTTTTTTTAAGACTCTTTGTTTTCATTTGAAGTTTACAGGAATATATTAGAACTATTAATATTTTTACTTTGAATCCTTGTACAGAAGATCCGCAACTGTAATCCAGCTCTTCATCATAAACTGTCAATATCCCTTCCAATGAAAAAATTGCTCCTGCGTATAGAGCTCGTCGTGGATAGGTCATAGTGTCGTCGTTTAGGGAATATCCGTGCTCTATGTTCCAATTGGAATGGGGAGCTCTATGGAAATCACCATAATGGACTCTATAAAATAAAAAAAAAACTTTTCATTAAAACAACATCTGCAGAAACTCAGGTTAAAATGGAAAGTATATTATTACTTTAGAAAACATGTCACCAACGTTTACTTAGGGTTGTTTCTGTAAAACAGAATAAAGAAATCTTGCAAGTGACCTACAAAGCGATAAAAAGCATGTAGAAAAAAAGCGGTAAGTCACATTAGATTATAAAATGGGATAAAATGGTATATTATGACAAACTACATAATAATACGGATAGGCACGTAATAATTTTTAGTGACGTATTAAAAAAAAGTCAAATTTTAGTTTAATGATAAAACTTTAATCTTTATAACAATTTTCATGCTTGCTGGTAAATTTTCTTCAAATAATAATAACACTAAAGTTTATTTTCAAACCCATAAATACAAAGTATATTATTATTTTTAATGTTCAATTTATCGTATATTAAGCTTTTTTGTTTTTTCTTTAGAGAATAAGGTACTATGTTCCTTTTAAGTATTTTCTCAAAATTTTCGCATATGTCAGAAATTAGACGAATAGGCCTATAATTTGTTGGTGAATTTGGGTCACTTTTTTTATATATTAATGCTTAGGACATTCACCTTTCAAAAATTTTAAAGTAACGCAATTTCTTTAAGTCCTTTAACTGTAATTTTATCAAATTCGGGTGATGAGTCTTCATTAGTCCGACTTTCGTTACTATTAGTTATCTCTTAACTGTTTTGCTAATTTTTCCCCTACTGATGAGAAATGCGACTCTGCTGTTCTTATTGGGTCGCTGCGAATAAAATTGTATAGGAACTTATACGCAAAAATGACTGTACTACTAAGGACGAATAAAAAATTAATGCATAAGTATATTTAATAGGGTTATAGTTTTATAAAAATACTTACACTGTCTTCTTAAAAATTTGCTCTCTGTCTAATAAATTGAAAGAATAACATATTCCCTCGTCAGTTATTACGGGAGAAAATAGTTCAGTACAATTTTCATCGTATCCCATATACTTGCAGCTTGAAATACTAGCGAAAAAATTGGGTTGTACCTAAGTAAAAAAAATATCCGTTATTAATATGATTAGTAGAATTAGTTGATGTAGTTTCAAAAATGAAGCTGATGATAACCTTAATTATTAATTATTACAGTTTTCATTATTTAGGGATAGTTTTCTTTTCTTTAGAATTTTGTAAAGAATTTACATTTTGTTGAACAAATGGTATAATTACTAGATAATATCATGCTTATTCCTAACACTCTGTGTAGAGTGTGTAGCATAAGCAACCACTATTGCACATCCCAATCCGTATAAAGTAAAACTACTTACTGCGTCCAAAAATTGAAATATGTCATCTTTCGGAAATTTGATGGAACTAGATGTATGATTAAGATGTAAATTTTTTCTACATGCCAGAGATAGATAACCAAATTTGGCTTCACTAAAAAAAACACGAAAATAAACATTGTAGTTGTAGAAAAAGTATTGTTTGGTCATAATAATTAAGCCCCTTAAGCCTGTACGTATAAAAATATTTGGGCCCTTTATATCTAAATTCTGATTATATAAAAATATTTGGTTCTTTTAATCCTTACGTCTGTCCATGTAATACTATTTGCTCCATTTATACCTTAAGCCTGAGCATGTAAAAATATTTGGTCTTTTTATCCTTGAAGACTGCCAATATCAATACTAACTACGAATGTACATGTAAAGCTATTTGGGTCATTTCTTTGATAAGCCTGTCCATGTAAAAATTGTTTTACCATTTATCTCCTAAGCATGCACATGTAAAATATTTGGGTCCTCAACCCATGTGAAACTATGGATCCTTTATGTCTTAAGTATGCCAATATAAAAAAAAATGTTTCTGCTCATGTCAAAATATTTAGTGTCTATTCACATAAAAATAATTGCTTCATTTACCCCTTAAGTCTGAGAATATGAAAATATTTGGCCCCTCTAGATCTTAAGCATGCTCGTCTAAAAATATTTAGGCCCTTTTTCTATTTAGCCTTCCCAAGGAAAATATTTGGATTTTCACCTCATAATATTTGTTCCATTTATACCTTAAGGCTATCTATATAGAAAATTTGACCCCTTTATCCCTTAAGCCTACCCATATCAAAATATTTGGTTCCTTTACCATTTAAGCCGGCTCATGTAACAATATTTAGATCCCCTTACCCCTTGAGTCTATCCAAGTAAAAATATTTCTCCCCCTTAACCCATAAAATTATATATTTTCATTTTTAATTTTATATTCTATTTGGTACTTATATTTTAAATAAGCATTGCAATTTACTATTAAGCCCTGTCAATAGGATGTTGGGCAATAAATAATAGGATCATTAGACAAACACCATTTTTAGACATTTATCACCCCTAGAAGTATTGCTCGACAATTTTGTTTAACCCTATATCTATAATAAATTAGCAAACATAAAGAAACATAAAATCTCGCATTTAATTTTAGTTAAAGATGTAGGAAATGTCAATTATTTAAATGTACTAGCAAAATTACCAGCAAGTATAAAATTATTGTATTCAAGTTTAAAACAAAAATATGTTGTTATTTTCCTAGAATTAAACTGGGACAATCCGTATAAACTATAAAGACTAGAGATAAGGAGGCGAATCGGCCTTGGTCAAATTTCAAATTTCTTTCTCTTTTTTTATGGAGTTCCAAAAAACTACTATAGTTGGCTGGTGGCAAAATAACGACGTCTATTTTCTATGCAATTCAATGGGAATTAAAGTGATTTTTGTAAAATTTAGTAAAAAGAACAAAAATAAGCTGAAATAAAGAACCTGACTACAAGTAACAATGAGTAACAAAAAACGGCAAAGCAGGATTTGCTTCGTTCCGGGTTGAAAAACGGGATATAAATCCGATATAAAATTAAAGAAACACAAGGAGATAAGTCTTTTTAAAGCTCCTAATGTAAGTAAAATAATGTATTTATTTCTAAATAATATACAGGGTGTTATTGAAATACACGTACATATTAAAATGGGGAATAGTATGTAATGACCAAAAACGATTGGCACCAATTTTAACTTCAAATTCTAAAATTTAAATATTGGGGAAGAGTCCCCTTTTCCGACCTACTAGTTTCCATATTTAAAGAAGTAAAATAAATCGAAATTGAACTTACCCATAGAAATTGCACTATTGCCGTAGCAAAACCAATTAATTCAAAATAAAGTTTATTACAGTAATTGTTTAAAATGCCGTCCATTATTATTTACACACACTTGCAATCGTCTTTCCAAAGAACTTTGAACATTAGAAATTAGTCTTGGATTTTGTCGTAGTTCCTCGGCTACCGCATTAACTTTATTGGTTAATTGTTCAACACTATTAATAGGTTCATTATAAACCAGTTGTTTCATGTGACCCCACAAAAAGAAATCGCATGGATTTAAGTCCGGAGATCTCGGAGGCCACTTAGTAGGTCCATTTCTGCCTATCCACTTTTGAGGAAATCTAATGTTCAAAAACTGCCGTACGTTTAAATCAAAGTGAGGAGGAGCGCCATCTAGTAGGTACCACATCCGTTGCCTTAATTGTAACGGTATCTCTTCTAGGAGTACTGGCAAAATATCTTCTAAAAAGTGGAGATATCCTGGCCCATTTAATCTGTTCGGGAGAACATAAGGCCCGATTAAATACTGATCTATTATGCCAGCCCAAACATTTATTGAAAATTTTCTTTGATGCCCAGTTTCCCTAATGGCGTGAGGATTTTCATCACTCCAAATATGCGTATTGTGCATATTGAACACGCCATCACGAGTGAATGAAGCCTCGTCAGTATATAATAATATTTTTAGAAAATCAGGAATATCAACACATTTTTGAATCATCCATTCACAAAACTCCACTCTCTTTTCTTCATCACCTGGATATAAGGCCTGGACTTTTTGGATGTGATAAGGATGTAAACCTTGTTCTTTAAGTGTCCGCCACACAACAAATGAGGACACTCCAATTTCAAGACCTAGTCTTCTACAACTTAATTGAGGCCGGTTTTCAACAGCTTCCAATATTTCTTCTTCGGCCGCCAATGTTCTTTGTGTTCTTGTTCTCCCTCGATCTGCATTGACACTCTCAAATTTTCCATGGTCTCTTAGATGCTGAACAGTTGAAATAAACGTACGACAGTCCGGAATTCTCCGATTTGGAAACCGTTCGCGATACAGGATTTGTGCTTGCCGAGAATTTTCTCCAGCTGCCCCATAAACCAGCACTATATCCGTTAGTTCAATATTCGTAAATAGTGGCATCGTAAAAAAATATTTAAAAGTAATCGTAACAACACTTTTTACCAACTTGGAAATGACGCGCTCGTGTTAGCCAGATTCGTAAATCAACTAAAATTTTAATAATCTATAGTTTCAAAAATGTATAGTTTAAAAACAATCATTTATCAAATATTCTAGTTTTTTGATAACGAGGGTAGTAAAAACCAGTCTTCGGAAATAGAAATTAATTCGAAAATCTTGGCAACATGGTTATTTCTTACAAGACTAGTTTTCTTATCATCTGACAAAAACTTGCATATTAATTACTGTTGATGTTTAAAATAGGTAAATAAACCTAATTTATATAGGTCATCCTCAACATATCAGTGAAGTACGTTTGTTTTAGAATTAATTTTCAAAAATTAATAACTCCCTTAATAAGGGTTATTTTTAAAAAATAATATTTTTCTACATTCAGTGGGGATCTGCGCAATACCCAGTTTTAATATGTACGTGTATTTCAATAACACCCTGTATATATGTATTGTAAAATAGTCACAACCCGTATCTTACGGAGTGTAGTTTATTCAAATACAAAATTCTATGGTAAAAAATTATAAAGTCATAAATCCAGACTTACAAACAACAATAATTACACATTAACTTACTAGAAAAGAAAATTTGCTTTTTTTATGTTTTTTGATGTTAGATAAAGAGTTACTACTGTTATTTTTCTTTATTGAACTCCAATTTAGTCATTGCAAATATTTTTTATAGGATCCTAAACATTTAGAACAATGGCAGCATGTGATTCCTAGGGCTGATAAAGTACTATGATTCTATTTGCGAGCTACACTTTTTAGAAGATGATATTTTAAAATTTGATGAGACTATTTTAACTAATGGTACTGTTAACAAAATATAAAGGGAAAGGCCGAGATTAAAGAACGAAGCATGTATATTCCCGAATCTCCCTTCATACTTGTCCAGTATTAGGAAAAGACGAAAACCACCATTGAACCGAACTGAATTTGTTAGAATAAAAAAAAGGAAGAAAATACTAGAAACTATTGCTGAATAAACTATTCACCAGGAAGATGAAATTGTAATTGTCGAATACAAAATTACCACAAAACTGTTCTTACCAAATTCCACCATTTAACAAACCTTTTCAAATTTGGTCATACCTAATTTTCATTTTATTTAGATAAAATTAAATAATGAATAGTAAATAATGTTTACCATAAAGACTCATTTATAATTAATACCAACAGTATTTTCTGTACTTTAGTTAGCAATTAAAACAAAGACTTATTTACATTAATTAAAATTAATAGTATTTTCTGTGCTTTAGTTAGCAATAAACAATTTGATTTTTATTATTTTCAAAAAAATTTTGTAAAATCCCTAACTAAATATTTTTATTTAAACCGTGTCTTAGTATGCCCTCATTCCTATTTAGCTTTAATTAAAAAATAATTAGCCCTATCAAATTTCAAACATCATCAATAATTTGCATTTTACTTAAAGTAAATAATGTATCAATTAAAATATGTAAGATTTATTTAGAAATAAATACAACAGTATGTTCTGTGCTTTATTTAGCTATAAACAAGTTTATTTTTATTATTTTGACAAAATTATGTATAATTCCCATGTATTTTGAACTACGTAAACCGTACCATCACCCATGCGGTTAATTATAAAAGCTCAATTGACGTGTGATTTGTGGGACCGTATTTTGAGCTTGCCGATTCGCCTCCTTATCTCTAGTCTTCATAGTATAAACGTCGTTCTTTATTTGGACCCATGATTTATATAGTTGTATAGATTAACGTAAATAAGACGACGAAAAGCGGGTGAACTGGGAGATTTCCACTGGTGGAAGCTTATTATGTACCGGAAACATTTCTTTAGTTTCATTTTTGATTTATCAAATTATTCACATTCACCGCCGAAATAATCCATAATTGTCCAAAGGCATTGCACAAACTTTAGAATGCTCATTTGGGCCAGACCGATTCTGCCTGGTGAGCACTCAGCAAGGTAATATTATGATGGACTGCAATGTGACCCGCTTTTCGTCGTTTTGTTTATGTGTGGATGAGCAATCTATATAACTATATATCATTGATTTGGACCGGTTTCTTTTGAGCAAAAAGTATAAGCTTTTTCATCAAGTCACCTGTAATT